GTTTTCTTGATTTTTAGGTTTTTGTTTTTGTTTTTTTTTTCTTTTTTCTTTGTGTATTCTAGATACTAACGCTCTGTCAGATGTATAGCTGGTAAATATTTTTTCCCATTCTGTAGCCAACTGTCTCTTTACTCAAATTATGTTGTCTTTTCTGTACATAAGCTTTTTAGTTTCATGTAGCTTTACTTGTCAGTTATTAGTATTAGTGCCTGTGCTATCAGAGTCCTTTTCAGAAAGTCCTTTCCTGTTCCTATAAGTTGCAGTGTATTCCCTACTTTCTCCTCTATTAACTTCAGGGTATCAGGTCTTATGTTATGGTCCTTCATTCCTTTACAGTTGAGTTATGCAGGGTGAGAGATAAGGATCTTGTTTCATTCCTCTACTTGTAGCTATTCAGTTTGAGAGCAGCATCATTTATTTTGCAAATGAGTACCACCCACAAATATTTTTCTCTCTGTTGTCAAAGGTGCATGACAAACTAAAGTAAATCTTCATTCTTTACCATTAACCAGTATTGATATTTTTAAATGATAAAGTGGTAACTGTAAACAACTATTCTTACAAGAAAATATTATCAGTTCAATTTTCTGATTACATCTACCTGATGTAAAGTTAGATGTTTTAATCTATCTTTTATTTGGATCACCATTTTGACTTGTAAACTTTCTCAGGTTTTGGTTAAAACTTGGTTATAGTATGATCTACGTGTACCCTAATTTATGAAGGTCATCAAAGGGTAAAAATAGATTATTGGCACATGGCTTCTATTATAGGAAATAATTGGTTAAAATGTCATTTGAGCAATATTCAGCCTAGTTCCCAGTTTCAAGCAAACTTGCTGTCCCCTTACCAGTGGCATAGGCAGGAAAACTGTTGGATGGGAAAGTTCAGATACTGAAGAGTAGAAAGGTTTTGGACACATTTCAGAGTGTTATCATTTGACTACACAGCTTGGATTGCAAGTAAAGAAACACCCTTCAACTTCAACCCATTTACCAACTGATTTAACAGACATGGCTAGTTTCATTCTAGTACATTAGTGAGTTTGTTGACTCTTAGCTTTGCCCCTCTTTTAGCCTTCACAAACACACACACATAAAATTTGCAGGTTCTTGGAGGTTAGTCTTCAAGTACTAAAGTGTCACGTAAGGATTTCTCAGAAATCTTTTAATTATGATAAATGAAAGTAAAAAAATTAAATTGAACTTATATCAGACTACACTGACTTCTTTTTACTCATTCCAGATAGAGGAGGGTGTTTAAAGGAGGAGTCCTGGCTTGACTACAGACTGCACATACCTTATATATACATAGCTCAGAAGACAGGGACATATTATAAGTATAATATATACATATTATATAGTACAGAGGAGGTTTTTTGTTTTATTTAAGAGAAAGGCATTTATATTTTCCCTTTTAAAACCATTTGTAGTGTGCCTGAATTATCTGAATAGTTTTTGTATTTATGTAATATATTCCAAGACAGTCCCAAATAACTTGTTTTAGGCTTTTACACTTTGTTTTAGAATAAAACAATTTAGAAATACAGATTTTGAGAAGCATAAACACAAGTTCTTAAAGATTTAAGACTATATATTGGGCTGGATTGTAGCTTAATAGTAGAGTCCATGCCTAGCATGCAGGAGGCTCAAAGTTCAATTTGCATAAATAAATAAATAAATAAATAAATAAATAAATAAATTTAATTAGTTAATTAATAAGACTGCCTATAACCTTCCTATTTTGGCAGTACTGTGAATGTGTCTTTGGCTACTCATTAACTCAGGCATTAAACTATAATACTGTAACTATAAGTATTAAGACATAAGAGACTGAAAGAGATGGCTCAGCAGTTAAGAGTACACTGGCTGCTCTTGCAGAGGACCCAGGTTCAGTTCCCAGCACCCACGTGGGGGCTAATGACCATCTGTAACTCCATTTCCAGGGCATCCGACACCCTCTTGTGATCTTTGTGAGCATTGCACAACACAGGTATACTTACATAAATATTCAGGCAATACACTCGTACACATAAAATTAAAAATAATAGGGGCTAGACAGATGGCTCAGCAGTTAAGAACACTGACTGTTCTTGCAGAAGACCAGGGTTTGATTCCCAGCACCCACATGGCAGCTAACAACTGTCCATAACTCCAGTTCCAGGGGATCCGACAACCTCTTCTGTCCTCCACGGGCATTGCACATCATGGGTGCACTCACCTACATGCAGGCAATACACATATTTTTAAAAAATAGTAAATAATAAACATTTTTTAAATATTAAGAGGTGAGGTTTAATTTTTTTTTTCTGTCCCAGCACACCTGACATTCCACTAATGATACAAAGCATTCCATTAATGATGAGAGTTGATAGGTGGAAACTAAAATCTCAGGAAGGGATGTTTGTATGGCTTAAGGAGAAAAATAGATGATATGATAATCTCTCCACAACTTTTCCTCTGTAGTCAACAAAGTAAGTCCAAATGGTTCTTCCATTTCTAAAATTCTCTGAATGTTTACTTTTCTTTCCGTGCCACTTATTCACACACCTGCCTCTCTGTAATGAGAGGGTTTGGTTTTATCCTGCTGGAGAGATGGAGGGATGCATCAGTACATCAACTTTCTGTATAATTGCTACCCTGTTTTGTCTTACGTGCAAGAAAAACCAATACTCCTTATTCAGGTGAGATCCCTGTAAACTGAAATCTGGGAGTTCACTTGGTAAATGTGTTAGTACAAATGTCCCAGAATAGAAAATTTTGGATTTCCTTTTTCCAAAATAAGAAAGAAAATCTTTTGAAAAAATAACTAAAAATGTTCATTTAGCATATAAAAATTTAGTTGTAGAAATAAGGTGTGTATGTTATGTTCCTTTGATAAGAGTGTATATTCTGTAGTATACATGAGAAATAAGAACTTGTTAAGAGTTCTTACTCTTTCTGTCTTGGATGTATTTTTTTTTATTGTTGCTTATTGAACTACTGGAGCTCAAACCCAGAGCCTCCTTCATGCTTGGCAAACATTAGCTGTGTCCACCGCCCCCCTTAGGGTGTTAATTTTAAAGTGTTAGATTTAATTGTATACAAAATATATTTGGACCATGGAAAATATTATTTGGGTTGTGTTTAAAATAATGTCATTATATTAAAAAATTCTGATGTATATTGTTGACAAAATACCATTATATATTTTAAAAATATTTTATTTATTCTTATTTTATGTGTATGAGTGTATTGCCTACCTGCGAGTGCACCCATGTCATGCAATGCCACAGAGGTCAGAAGAGGGCTTTGGATTTCCCTGGAACTGGAGTTAAGGACAGTTCATAGCTGCCATGTGGGTGCTGGGAATCAAACCTGGGTCTTCTGTAAGAGCAGTCAGTCTCTTAAGCACTGAGCCATCTCTCCAGCCCCAGAATACCATTATACATACATACATACATACATACATACATACATACATACAATCTTATTGCCACAGTCAATAATGGAAGAAAATAAAATTTAAAAACCTCAATCCAAAAAAATAGTAAAAATAAAGATGTAGTTTTTTCTCATTGTTTACAGACTCCATAGTCTATAGTTTTATTCCTTTAGACACATTTAAAGAAGCCAGATATAATTCTCAGCCTCTCAAGAGACTAACTTCATCTTTAAGTAAAATGGAGCTTAGGATCTCTTCTGTATTTAGCCCTTAAACTCTTAAAGTAAGCAAGTGGTTGATTATTAAGTGGTGATTGGCGATATTTCTTGCATTAGAAACTTGGGTGTTGCTACTACTTTCAAATTACTGATGAAATAGATTTCTATAAAAGCTATTGTATCTACTTTATCTTAAATTCAAATTAGAGTATGTTTTGTAGGAATAAATGCTTTATTCATGTTGCTAGAGAGATGGCTCAGCAGTTAAGAGCACTGGCTGCTCTTGCAGAGGACCCAGCTTTGGTTCCCAGCACCCACATGGCAGCTAACAACCGTCCCTAACTCCAGTTGCAAAGGATCCAACACCCTCTTCTGATCTCTGCAGCCATTGCACCACACAGGTGCACTTACATACATGAATGCAAACACTCATACACAAAAATATAAATGAATACATGAGAAAAAAATTTTTAAATGCTTTATTCATGTCTTTGAGTTGTTATAGTGTATTCCTTTGTCATTAAAGAGAAAAATGTAGCTCATGTCACACCCCTGAGCCATACTTCTGCTTTATATAACTACTATTGCATGGTCATATTTGTGCAATAATTTAATTTTTTACTCTGGTAAGATAAACTTAACACAAAATTAACAATTGTAACCATTTTTAGCATATATATTTCCATGGCAGTTGTTCTTTCTGCAGTGCTGTCCAGCCACTACTAAATTTGCTTGAATTTCACATCAGCCTAAACAGCAACTCAGCTCATTTAGCAGTAATACCCCATATGTCACTCAACCAATCCAGTTAGCCACTAATCCATTTTCAGTCTCTATGAATTTGCTGGTTATCAATATTTCATATAAATGTAATTATATAATATTCCTTTTTTGTGTCTGACTTTTTACCCTTAGCATAATGTTATCAAGTTCTATCCATATTATATATAGCATGTGTCAGAATTACATTTTTAATAGCTGAATAATATTCCATTTTCTTTACTCATTCATCCAATCCCGGGGACAATTTGGGCTGTTTCTGCCTCTGACATTTGTGAATAATACCACTATAAGCTTAGTTATATATGTATCTGAGTCTCTGTTTTCAGGATTTTAGTGGGGGGTAGGGGGTGGAATTGTTGAGTTATGTAGTAATTCAGTGTTTAATATTTGAAGGATGTGATCCTGTTTCCTTGTTTTACAATTGTTCATTCTTGTTTTTTTAACCCTTTCATTAATATTTATGTTTTTTAAAAATATTTTGCTTATTACTTGGTTGACTTTTGTTGCTGAGTTTTAAACAATCATTTGTTTTGATCATTTATTTTTTTCTATCCTTTCCAATTGTTTGTTTTTCAGACCCAAGTCAGAACTCCATCACAGGGGAGCACAGCCAGCTGTTAGGTATAGTATTGCTGTGGGAAGTGACTCTCTAAAGTCACCCTTACGTATTTATAGTAACAGACACTCCTTACTCCCATCTCTATTTCTATTTTTAGTTCTCTTTTTGTCTGCTTTTCACCCTTCAACTCTTTTCATTGTTTTAATTTCCAACTTTGTAAGCTACAGGAAGCTAGTTTTATAATTAATTACTAAAACTTAACTCAGTTACCTTAAAAAATAATTTTATATAGTTTATGGTAAAAATAATCTTAGAAACACTTTTCAAAGATAATAAGAAGTATATTATCTTTCATATATATATATCATGTACACACACAATAATCATAACTAAATTATATTTTTAAACAATTTTAAGGGGCCAGTGAGATGACTTAGTGGGTAAAGGCACTTGCTGTGCAAGCCTGGCAACCTGAGTTTGATTTCCTGGAAACAGAACCTTCACATACTTGCTATGGTATATGCCCCTTCCCCTTACATCATGCACACATAAAATAATAAATAAGAAAATATTATATTATGTAATATCTGGACTTTGTAGAAACTTTTATTTTTTAAAAGGCATTTTATTATTTTTATTTTATGTATATGAGTGTATTACCTACATTTATGTAAGTGTACTCATGTCATGCAATGCCTACAGAGGTCAGAAGAGGTCGTCAGAGCTCCTGGAACATGAGTTATAAACAGTTGTTAGCCACCAGGTAGGTGCTGGGAATTGAACTACGTTCCTCAGCAAGAGCAGTCAATGCTCTTAACCACTAAGCCATCTCTCCAGCCCTTTATTTTTCTTTATGTTTAACCACCTTCATTTTTATTAATGAAAGTGAGCCTTTGAGATGGCTCACTGGCTAAAGGCACTTGCCACCAGGTCTAACAACCGAAGTTCAAGTCCTGGAACCCACATGGTAGATGGAGAGAGCTGACTTTTTGCAAGTTGAAGTTGTCCTCTGACACACACACACACACACACGGAAAAAAATACTGAAAGCACTTCATAAACAGGATGGCCTTTAATAATCCATAAAATTGATATTTCAGTTGCTTACTTGTGAAGCAAGTTATAGGAGAGAATTGATTTCTTTTAGGTGTTGTTTATTGTAGGAAAATTGCAATTTGACAAGAATTTAATCAGCACTTAACACTTAACAGATTTTCAAAATCTAAAGTTACAGCTTGGATTCCTTATTACAAGTATTGCAATGAGGAATCCCAAGCAATAGAAAGATAAATATGAAGAAGGAAAATCTTTTGAAGTATCATCCCTTCTCCCTGCCACTCAACTCTACTTTCCCAGAATACTTGCTTTTGATAGTTTCTTGGGATTTCTAGGAAGCTTATGATTGAAACTATAAAATTACTATCTTTTCCCTTTTTATAGAATTGGTACTATATTATTCAAATCTCTTTTGTCACTTAACATTGTATCTTGGACATCTCATATTAGTCCATAAAGGTCTGCCTCATTCCTCTGTTTGGGGTAGAATTAGAATAATATTCCACTGTTGGCTACAGTTTTAATCAGTCATTTCCCCCCATTGTAAGCATTCATGTCATTCCTAGCACACTCTTAACAAACTGATACATCCTGCATCTTTTACTTGCATCCTTGTAGTCTCGTCAGTACATTTGTAGGACAAATCCATACAATGGAATTCTTTATTCAAAGGGTTTGTACATTTTCAAAAAAGATAATTCACCATAAACTTCCACCAGTCCTTCATGGAGGAATGCTTGGCGCTCTACTAATAGATAAAATGGCATTTCTAGTTTTTATTATACTTTGATTATGGATAAGAATGAGACTTTTTTCATGCGTTAACAGTTGCTTTGTTTATATGTGAGTCTTTGAATTTGTACATTGCTGAGGTTTTACTTGTTAGACTATATGAAAGCAACCATGAAAAACATGTTATCAGAAAGTCTACAGTAAGAAAAGAACTTGATATGACTTGCTTATAAAAAAAAAAGCGCTTCAGAATGTTAGTTGAAGAAACTGGAATAGTACCCCCATCTCTCTCATACACACACACACACACACACACACACACACACACACGCACACACACACACACACACACACACACAGAGGCTTAGCAGAGCCCTTGTGTTATTAAGGTGTTCGTTTTCATTCCTTTGAGCTTTGAGTGTGTATATATACTAGAACTATACCTGGCACCCTAGGCACCCAATAAATATTTGCTAAGTAAACAATTTTTCCTAAACATGGAAATTTGATCACCGGGGTCCTTGCCTTGTGGTGAGGGGCTGTCCTTATTGTCTTTTGTTTTGTGGTAGTACTTAGAATCAAACTTAGTATCTTGCATATGTGAGGCAAGGACTCTACCGATTACTTTTATTTATTTAGTTAGTTCATTAATTTGGTTGGCTGTTGGTTCTTTTGAGTCATAGTCTCACTATGTAGCTCAGGCTGGTCTCAGAGTCACCAGTGATTAGTCATACTGTCTCATCTTCCCAAGGTCTTAGATTAAAAGCATGAACCACCTCACCCAGCTCCCTTTCATATCTTTATATTAAGTAGTTGATTCACACTGTTTTTTAAAAAAAAGTCTTATACTGTTAAAATTTTCATATTTAGGTAAGAATCATTAAGATTTCAATGAAAGATTTTGCTGGACCATAAAAAGCACATTTTAGCCTGCTATGGTAGCACGCAATTGTAATCTCAACCTTGGGAAATAGAGGTAAGAGGATCAAGATTTCAAGGCCAAGGACTTGAGGGATGGCTCAGCAATAAAAACACTGACTGTTCTTGCATAGGACCTGGGTTCAGCTCCCCGTACCCCTATGGAAGCTAACAACCAACCATCTGTAACTACGGTTCCAGGGGATCCAGCATTCTATTCTGACCTTCATGGGCATGCATACATGTTTTGTACTTACATGCATACACTCATACACATAAATTAAAATATTTTTGTTGTTTTTTTTTGAGACAGGGTCTCCCTATAGCCCCAGCTGGCCTAGAACTCACTATGTAGACCAGGCTGGCCTTAATCTCATAGAGATCATCCTGCCTGTGCCTCCTAAGTGATGGAATTAAAGGCATGTGCCACCATACCTGGCAATAAAAATAAATTGTAAAAATTAAAAAAAAAAAAAGATTTCAAGGCCAGTCTGGGCTACATAAGACCTTGTCTCAGTTTTTTTCTCCCATGAATTGTGAAATTGCCAAAATAAACAGAGAACTCTGAGAGTAGTTTATTATCTGACCAGGAACTTATGTGCAGTGGAGGTAGGGGAAGGCCTTTGCAAATGAAATGGACAATTAAGAATTTATATAGTTCATATATTACTAAGTTGGACTGACATAAAGAAAGATTGTGTTTTCTAATATTTTTTGCAGTTGTCCCACATCTCAGGGCTGGGGATGTAATTCAGTAATGTACTTACTTGGCAAGCACCATGCCTTGGGCTCAATCCTAGCTCTTTCCAAAAACCTCCTTTAGGATAAGTTGGCCTAGCAGGTGAAAACTGGTTCAATTGCCTTGGCTGCTGAATTGAATTTATAATAACATCTTTCAGACTTTTCCTGCTGAATTGGATTTATAACAGCATCTCCCAGACCTGCTAAGTGCTGCTCCTGTCAACTGAGTGCAGTTATTTTAATGTATTTACAGTTCCAACTGACTCATTAGTTCTCTTGCAAAACTCAGGGTCAGGCTGAGGTGATATATGGGAGGTGAAACTGCTACTGTGATAGCGAATCAAAGTTTCTACTTACTGTTCGTGAACTTTTCCCTATGTATATGTGTACTTTTCTATTTCAAAAATATTAGAAAGTAAGAAAACACCAGCAAGTCTTGGCATGTTAAAAGAAATTTTATTAAACATGCAAGAAAAAAGAATTGCAGCCATCTACAGTCTCTTTCAAACCATAGAAAACCAAATAAACATTGTCTGAATCAGTTTGAGTCTTTAATGACATTGATAGCAAAACTTAACAATGGAAGTATGAGAAAAATATTGCCCAGTCTTATTTTCAAATATGTACATAAGCCTAAATAAAATGTTGGCATTCAATATTAATTTAAGAATAATATTTTTAGTAATTTTTTGAGAATTTCATACATGTATACAATGTATTTTGATAATTTTCATCCCCCTAACTCCTCCCAGAGCCATTCCTTACCTCCCATTCCTCCCAACTTCATGACTTTTTAAAAAATTAAACCCACAGAGTCCAGTTCACGGAGTCCATTTAGCGCTACCTATATACTCATGGGGGTTGAGCCAACCACTGGAGTTTAAAGGACCTGCCAGTGGCCACACCCTTGAAGAAAACTGACTCTCCTTCCCTTAGAAGCCGTCAACTGTCAATAGCTCCACAGCTAATGTTGGCTGGCTTGAACTTATGTAGGTCTTCTTGTATGCAGGATCTTTTTAATTGGCCCCTTGGGTTTGGGGTTTAGTTCAGTGGTACAGTACTACCTAGCATGCTTAAGACTCTGGGTTCAATCCCTAGTGCCTCAAAAATAAATAAATAATAAATAAATAAATAAATAAATAAATAAATAAATAAATAAAGCTTCCGTTATCTGGTTCAGGGTTTCTGCTAAAAAAAATATGGTAGGCTTAAACATCAACAATGAATATATAGCCTGTTGTGATATTTCATACCTGCTATCCCAGCCCTTGGGAGGCTGAGGCAGGAGGAGCATGAGTTTGAGGCCAGCTTGAACTACATAGAGAGAACCTATCTCAATAATGAATGAATGAATGAATGAGTGAGTGAGTGAATAAAAATGTAACTTACAGTATCCACATTAAAGAGGTATATAATCAATATATATATATATATATATAGAGAGAGAGAGAGAGAGAGAGAGAGCATTTGCTAGGAAACATGATCAGTATTACCATATTAAAAACTAATTCACAATTAGAGCATTCTTGTGAGCCTACTTATTAATTGGTCAGATTATCTAGTTTGTCTTTAACTGAACCACCAGGTAACCAAGTAGTACATTAAAAAGAATATC